CAAACCTTGCGAGAAGAGGCTTTTCTCAGCAGTGGGCATATAGTCTGTTGATGATGATGACATCTTATATACCTACAACTGTAGCTTTTAACTGACAGAGCGACCCTCCATTTGTGGCTCCATCGTCGCCACAGAACAACGCATTGTTGGCCATCAAGTTTACAACAACACACGACGTCGCACTTGTTTCTCAAATTCGTGATGATCGTGCGTCGACGCCACGCATCACACCTCCCGCTTTATCTCTTGTCTGTCATTCCATTGAAACATCGCGCGCTAATGAGGCCGGTAATAAAAAATAAATGGAAAACGACGTTGCGACGATGCAAGCAGCGCAACAGACAAGTAGATATTCAATATCAGCTACAAGGTAAAGAATATAGAACTAAAGTATGAACTATCTGTAACATTGTATTATAACTTTCGGGAGACTGTCTCAAGAAATTAATAATTTATGTTTTACAAATAATAAATGATTGATTGATTGATTGATTGATATTATTTAATCGCGCTGCTACTAGTAGCAGCAGTAGCCGCGTCGCGAGCCTCTAGCATGGCTTGAAAGTCTTGAAACTAGTCGAGTTCCTCGTCAAATAATTACGTGAGTAAGCCGAAAACATAATAATGATAATAATAAAGCCCATTTATTTCCAACAACCTTAAATAACATTTTCTCTTAATAAATAAATAACTATAACTATTATGTCATTGAAACCCCATGCTGGGTAAAGGCCTCCTCCAGCTTACTCCACAATTTTCTATTTCTTGCTTTTATTCTCCAATTTTTTCCAGCTACTTGAATTATCTCATCAATCCACCTGTTCCTTGGATGGCCTCTATTTCTTTTCCCAGCAGGTCCTTTCCATGTTGTGGTTTCTAATGTCCATCTCTTGTCTGTGTATCTCGCTATATGTCCAGCCCATCGCCATTTTTGTGTACGAGCATAATGAAGTACGTCTATTATGTTAGTTATTTCTCTAATATTCTTGCTTCTTATCTTTTGAATTTTTCTTATTTTTAATATACTTCTTTCCATCGCTTTCTGACAGTTTGTTAGTTTTGTTTTTATTTTTGTGTTATACGTCCATGTTTGGCAGCCATAAGTGAGAGTTGGAAGAATACAAGTATCCATTACAGTCTTCTTCAGGTGAAGGGGGAAATTCCCTTTTGGAATTTCCTTTAGGCTCAAGTATCTTTTCCAGCCAATGTTCACTCGCCGTTCTATTTCTTCTTCTTCATTATTGTTACTGAATGATACTTGTTTGCTAAGGTATATATAGTTATTTACACATTCTAGTGCTTTGCCATATAGTTTGATGTTGGTGGTTTTGCTGTTTGTCATTACTTTTGTCTTATCTTGGTTCATTATGAGCCCAACTTTTTCGCTTTCTTCTCTCAGTGTGCTTATCATTTCGTCTAGTTTGTCATTGGTTTCGGCAAAAATCACAATGTCGTCAGCGAATCTTAAATGAGTTAGCCTCCTCCCATTTACTTTTATTCCGTGTGATGGCCAATGCAAGTTCTTGAAAATAATCTGTAGTACCGATATAAAAAGCTTTGGTGAAACAGGATCTCCTTGTCTTACTCCCCGAAAAATTGGTATATTTGTTCCTCTTTTTTCCAGTTTTACCCAGCTGGTGCTTCCTTTGTAGATGTTTTTTAATACCTTTATGTATTTTTCTTGGATTTTACAGTGATCCAGGGCTTCCCATATAGAGTTATGAGAGATCGTGTCAAAAGCCTTTGCATAGTCGATGAAAGCTATATATAGCGGTTTGTTGAACTCTTTGTGTTTTTCTATCACTTGTTGAATAGCGTGAATGTGATCTGTTGTAGAAAAGCCCGAACGAAAGCCAGCTTGTTCTAACGGCTGGTATTCATCGATTTTTGGAGACAATCTGCTTAGCCGAAAACATAATAATACATCTGTAACATTATCGCCTCGGGTTTTATAGTTCTGCAGTGAAATTGGTCAGGTACTAATATTTTATATTCATCCAATATTCACGCACTTTAGCCATTCATATTGTAACGTCAAGTTTACTGGCCTACACAATGTCAAAATCAAAAAGTCAAAGATATAATTAACTGATTGCTCCAATACTCACATAAACAATAAAGGATTAAATTTTTTTTCACACACACCTGAATTTCAATTTTATCGTCGTGTGTATTGGACTATTCAGTCAAATTCAATTAGCTAGCATCAGTTACGTACACATTGTACTATGTTTCCAATTCACCAATTAACAGAATTGCTTTTGAATAATATTTGGAGCTTAAATTTTATTTTTAATTTGGATTGACAGCGGTATCGTGTGAACAAAGGGTGTGAATTATCAATAACTTTGTTATTTATTGAAAAGTGGTTTGTAGATTGTATTAATAAAACGTAGAAAGGACGATGGCCCGACCACCCTAGAAGACCTATATATGTCGTTAGAATGCGATTAAATGTGGAAGAGCCATGCTTCGGTACAAATGGGCCGACTTGACCGAAGTGATACCACGACCTTACAGAAAACTGACGGGAAGCAACGCCCGCATTGTGTTTCGTTGTATGAGTGAGGTTACTGGAGGTCCAATTACCCCTTCCCTAATCTGTCCAAACCCTGAATCCCCAACAATCCTCAAACTCCTAACCCCAAAAGGCCGGTAACGCACTCGTAACGCCTCTGGTGTTCCAGGTATCTATGCGCGACGCTGATTGCTTACCAGGTGATCGGTTGGCTTGTTCACCGGCTTATCCCATGAAAAAAGAATGGTCTTTTTAACCGACTTCTTTTGACTATAATTTGTTATTACGGTGACTAGTATCAAGTCATTGTGGAAAAGATCTATTTCTCCTAAGGTCTACTCAGGTATGACGTTATTATAAACATGTCTATAATATTGTGAGAATAATATAAATTAGTAGATACTTTCTTTAATCAAAGAAAACGTAGTACATACGTCACAAAAATGTGTTATGTTATTACAAAATGTATTATCTTATTTAAAAATACTTATATAATGAATTAATGATAACATTCACCTCAATATACAGTTTATTTTGTCCCATTCTTTCGAAAATATCACATACGAATTCAAAATGTTTTTCAAACTCCTGTGTAGTTTCCGACCGAAATAAAAAAACATACTGTACCTGGAAATGTTTTTTCAGATCAATGGCGCGTGAAATTCAGAGTTCAATGGCTTTGCCCAAAACCGCTTTTAAAGCTTTTCGTATGACCGTGTGGTGTTTATTTGTATCTCCTGTTGAAACACCTGAAACTGAGTATTTTTATTGCAGCTATACTTTTATTGCTACTATCGAGATCGAATGGAGTAGGTAACTTAACATATCATCAAGTCCGCATCCCCGAAAAGGGTAGGCAGAGGTGCACGTTATGGCACCTAATGCGAATGTACAATGTAACACCCACTTTTCACTATTTATGTTATGAATCCCATGTAATAGGGGGTGACCCTATTGCCATATACCGGACACAATCGCATATCGCATACATGATTACTGACCATGTTCTGGACGATCGACACGTGTAGTTAAAAGTTAATATTTACTAGTACGTTAGAATTCCTATATAATAAATATAATATAATTAGTCTTGTAGAACCTTTGTAACAATAAACTTCAAAATAAAATTATTTAACAATATCTCGGTCGCCATAACTTAACTCTGGACAATACAAATATTTCGATAAAAGTAGATCTTTTAAAACAGGTGCCTGGTTATATCTATTAAAAGAAAAAAAATACTGAAAAGAATGCCCTGCAAATTTAAAAGCAGTTATTTTCAATTCATAAGAAATTTTTAAAAGGATTTTTTGTAATTAAACTGTCAAACACCAACCGGTCACCGGTGACCGCAACCTATTGTTCTATAATTGTGTCTATAATAACGGTACTCGACGAGTTAAACTAGTCACAAAATCTAGGTTCAAATAATTTATGAATTTGAAACTTGTTGTTTCCAATTCATAAGGAATTTTTAATAACAATTTTTGTGACTAAACTAATAGGTGCTTTCATCGATATGAATACCTGAAGCGAAATTTCGCTGCTTTCTGGAAAAATGTTTTATGAAATTTTATAACATTCGCTCTTTCTGAGCTTAGTAGCATGTACTCTTTATCAACTTGAAATACTTTTAGCTTATATTTATGGAAGGGACACACATAGAATATTATTATCATTTATGTGGTGAGTTTCCTTTAATATGACGTCAGAATTTCAGATTTTATTGTGAGTAAGCATTTTGGAAAAGCAAAGAACCCACTAATAATGATTAAAATTATTTAAGTACCTGATATTAACGGCAATGTCCATACTTAAAATTCATTTTAAAAATTCATATTCATTTTAAAAATTCATATTCATTTTAAAAATTCATATTCATTTTAAAAATTCATATTCATTTTAAAAATATTAATATTCATTTAAAAAAAATATACGTATCCATATTTTAAATACTAATCTATAACTTATCATTCAATCTATTCATTTTTAAAAATCCAGGTATGTTTTTCTATGAATAGTTCACTTTAATTGCCCACTCCCCAATTGATCACCGGTGACCGCTCTCCACTTACTCCATTATAGACCATATTTCCAATGTTTAGAGACTACTTTTGTATGAACAGACATTGTGTGGGTTTTTCAAATGGGAATTAAAATAATAAAACACAAATTGCTAATAAACTTATATTCTATAAATTCGTAACAAATAAGTTATCAATAGTTCCTTCTGTTAACATATCAATAATTTACGAACTATTCAAATGCTAAGGCGACTTCAAAACAATTAATTCCATAGAACTAATTATTTTTACACAAATTACCTAACACTCGCTTACACATAAAAATAATCTTATAACTTCTAATTATTTGGTGTGTTCTTGTAAAAATATAAAAAATGTGTTTATTTTATATACTAATCTATAACTATACACAGAAATATAACATTTTATTTATAACTTGCTTGCTTGTACCGCTTAAAAAAAATCTCACCTTTTAAACCTTTTCTGGAGTACCACGAACATTTCAAGCCCAAATAGGTTCAGCCGTTCTCGAGTATAGGGAGACTAACGAAAGAAAATTCAGTGTTATTTATATACATGAAAATCAGCCAAATAGGCTCAGCCGTTCTCAAGTGTAGCGAGACTAACGAACGGAAATCTATTTTGACTTGTAAATAAAATGTTGTAATAAACAGAAATATTACATTTTCTATAGTTCTACTAAGAAATTGTACTAAAAAGAATAGCGTTGTTTTTCAGTACCTTCTTAGAAGCCTGTCTGTTTTATATAATGTGCTTACAGTTAACTTACATTTCCATAATTAAATAAAAAGCAGGCAACAGTACATTATGCGAATGAAATATTCATTTTGCATGTAATTTATGTGATCAGTTCTAGAATACGTTCAGATTTTCTTGGCAATGAAATGTGTTGCCAAAATTATACGAAGTTTCTTTTAACACTATTGATCGGTGTAAAATATATGTAGTTAAATCAATGGCTATGTAATCAAAGAACATTCTTTTGGAGTTTCAACGGAACCGCATTTGATTAATGCAATAATTTACTTAGAAAATAACATAACCGATTACTTTTTCAATAGAAATATTGATATTCCAGAAAAACGTCAATTAACTAAAATAGAAATATCGACTGACATTATTTTACAAGTATAAGTATGATCTGTTTGTTCCAAAAATAATCGACATACTAATAACTTTGAAATAATCTAGAAGAGTCACTCACTTGAATAATATACTATAGTAACTCTTAGGCCACACGACATATTGCATTAACATTATTGTTCTAATGTATTACAATACATAAATATTGTTCTCTTACTACTTACAGCTAAATCATAGTTGCATCATTTGTACGTTTAAAGGCACTTAAATAATATTTCCTACATCACAAGCATTCTCTTCTAGATGGAAAATGAATAGAATACAGTTTTAAAAGCCAATCAATTATCAACTCTAAAGACATAAAGATCATCTTCATCATTATTAATATGATAATAAGTTCTAAAATGGCTCCTAATCCCGGCTTAGGTCATTAAAAGTAGACAACAAATTAAGTCTGATCTTCTTCTGGTCTAGTCTTTTGAATCTTTGCTTTTAAAACCATCTCCCATTTATAACCATCCACCATCTGCATCGCTTTAGTCTTTCTTACATTCAAATCGCAAAAATCAGTCGTGAACATCAGACTTTATTCCACCTTCTTCGTCTTCTTGATTTCTAAGAACTTCAGGATGTTCAAGCACCAGAACATAGCTGAGGCTACATAGAAGGTTTGGAGGGCAGTGGCCAGCGCTGGGCTGGTGACCGCCACACTTCTGATGAGGAAGGCCAGAGCTGAGCATCTGATGACCTCCAAAAGAGAAGCGTGCTTGGAGTTATCGAACAACATTCCGATGATGGTGAGGGAAGCGATAACGTAGAAGACACAGATCAGTACGGAGACTGGCGTCATACCCTGAGAACAAAGGAAAATATTATTAAGATTGATTGGTTAGGAAATTGAAAAGTTAGACACAGGATGAGCAGTTGTTTTTATTGATGATAGAAATTGTGCTGGCGTAAGCAGAGTATAGAAATCAAAATTAAAAACCCAGTAAAAATTAAAGACACTGTGTGACTCGTAAAGTAATAGTTAGCATAAACACGAGTGCTTTATGCAGTTGCAACTAAAACTATAGAAAGCGAAATTACACAAACGTGTTGAAAGCATGAAACTGTTCATAAACCAATTACTGCTAAGAGTTCCTCGGGAACTCCGCAAAGGCCATAATCCTCTTTGTCTCAATCTAAATTTCTATGGATTCACTTTAATGTTTTGCAAGATAAGATACTGCGGTTCATAGTAATTTGAATAGAAATCCTCGTTTAAATTTATATGACGCGTTACATATCAGGGCATATAAAGTGAGATTGTCAGTTTCGGAAGCCGAGAGTTTGGGGCCCATTCCATTTTATAGCTGCACTTTCGGTACTACATCAATGTTAATGACTTTTCCTTTGATGTTGTAGGTTATAGTACTTTTATATAAATTTATATTTGCATGTTAAATAGGAATGAGTTTGTTGTCTGAAGAAGGCAATAAAGTAGATTGTGTTCTGGTGATTAGAAATTAAATATAATCTTCCTATCATTATTGTAGGCTGACGGGGGAAAATCATCGAATGACTTCTCTCGCCCGGGTGAGGTGAGAGGGAGTGTCTGACTGCGTAACTCTTACTGACTAAAAACCACCCCTTTCCTACTCCTGCACTTGGAGCGGGAGCCCCAGCAACCCGTCTTCCGCGGCCGCATATCATTACTGTAGACTTATGATTTATTTTTTGTTTATTTTTGTTGCCACTTAACTTTACGCTAAAGTATTGAAATTCTTAAAAAATCCTACTCAACACGCGACCACGATATCAACGAAGTGGTTACAAAAGAAATCAGCCAAAGTGCTGCCCGCTTCTCTAACTTTAGAAGCAAAGTTGTTGAATAATAAATAACGAAGTCCTTTCCAAATCTTCGGAATAAGTTTTTCACTTCACTTGATGAGAAGTTCAAATTTTATCGCCTTAGACATCAAAAAGCTTGAGATACGTTTCAGAGTTAAAAATTCAACAACTTTTGACAGTGAAGAAAATTTATTTTCATTGGGTTTTTAAGGGCTTTTGTGGGCTTAAAATATTCAAAAGTCAATCCACTTCAAGCCTATAAAATAATAAACTTCAGTATGTTTTGTTTAGTCAGTGTTATCTTTTTCAGACTCAGAAATTATTTAAAAGAAAATTATTCATTGAAATGCTAAACAAATATGATAATTTTCACAAACAAGGCAAGTCAAAAATTTTATTTTATTTAGTGTTTTTATTTAATGGGTGTTTGCATTATTAGATCAAAAATACATAATATTTTTATTATATTTTAGGCAAGTTAAGGATTACCTAAATAATATAACTTTATAATATAATTTTTCACTGGTAATACTGTAAGAGGAATCAACATATTGTCAAATATTGGCCATAAATTCGAAGTTCACGTTCTCGCCTTAATTCATTTTTTGGACAAGGCGGTTGCAGTTGCTCTCTAACCAATCAATCAAAAATAATTAACTGCACTATTGGTGGGTTTGGGTTCGATTCCTACACGGAGCAACTCTTTGTGTGAACCACAAATTGTTGTTTTGGGTCTGTATGTCATGTGATATTGTATGTTTGTAAACGAACCCACAACACAGAAGAAAAACCTGGTGTGGTGCAAATTTTCTATAAAAAATATAAATACAAAATTTGAAACCACTCAGAACAACCTCAGAAGAAAACGACAAAATAAAAAGATATTCTCTTGATTCTAAACTGCTTTCAAATATCTCTGTAATCTTCTTAACAGGTACATAGGACCAGATTATCAGCTTAAGTAATGAATGGTCTGCGGACATCAAGATCCATGTGATACCGGTCTTAATGGAATTAAGCTTATGGACGAGTCTTAGATACGAGTAATACGGACGATTCCACGCCCAACAATAAATTATTCTAGCTAATTCGTAGCTAGAATTGTTGGTACAATTATTTAATGTATGTATGTAAGTTTTATACAATTGCATAAGAAGAACCTAATGCTAATAGCATTCTTTGCCAGTCATACCTTGGGTAGTGCAGAAATGTATGTGGTAAGATGAGTACTATTTTTTGGTTAACCAATTTACGTACCTACTCTATGAGTATAGGGGAAAATCTAATTGTGGGGGAAAGATTACAAAACATAAGAAAGAAATGGAATACTACTTCTTCTTTTAAAAAACATTTCCTACATTTTCTCCTGAGCCCGTAGCGTTTACAAACTTACAAGTTCACATACACATGACACCCAGACCCAGAACAACAATCGGTGGATCACACAAAGAATTGTTCTGTGTGGGAACTGAATCCGCGACACGCTCCGCGGCAGCCAGTTGCCCAGCCACCGCACCAACCGTGCAGTCAATTACTTAATAATAGTATGCTTTTTACTTAGGTATCTACACCAAACAGTGAATCCAGGATTTTATTGAAATGTGACGTAAGCATGTAGAATCTTTTTTTTTTATTATCCTCATTGTCGATACGTCATCAATAATTAATGAATTGTTCCAAAAAGAAAATGTTCTAAGCTAAAACAAAGTCATTTTTTCTTACTTAAAATTCAGCCTAAATTGATCAAACTTTTCCTAAACTTCGTTTCGCTTATCACAAGTTTTATCATTAAAAGTGACGTCAGCTGGAAAAATTGTTTCTGTAACACGGAGATGAAAAGTTCGCTCATCTTTGCAATTAAATTTAACTTTTGTATCAAAGTAATATCTGTTTTTATGTATATTTTTGATCCCGACCTTGAAATTACCTGTGCTAATTGCGATTAAATAATAGAAAGGGAATAAGTAATTTCTTTTTACTAACTAAAAATCGCGGGTTACTCACGCGAATATACTGTCGCTCAGCCTACTACTGGCTGGACATCGCCGCGACCGCAGACGCTGCTCATGTGGAAGAACCCCTCTGTGGTTCGAAACTAGTAGAGCTTTTCTCAGTTTATCACGTGAGTAGCCCGCGACTTTTAGCTAATTTAGTATGTCTCACGATAGTTATTATAAAAACAATTACTTTTTATATTTTTTATTCAACTTAAAACCATTTTAATGATAGTTTCTTTCACCTTTTAGTTCAGAGTAATTTGTTACTAACTTAAAAAGCCTAAGTAGGTATCAAATCACCTTCTACAAGTATTAATCACAAATGAAAACAATTACTCGCTCAGATGCTCTGTAATAGAAGAAATAGACTCTTAATATGTATCAAATGAAGGTCTTTCTGTTCAGAATTTCAATTAATTTTCGATGTAATTTTATACACGTCTCCTAACATATTACAGTCCAAAAATAAACGAAGTATATACGAAACAATGTTTATTAGTGAGATACAATTTCACGATGTTTTGACGAAGAGTGTGTAACGTGATAGCAATTATTTTAGGCCCGAAGGTGATATTATTAATGTATATTTAACCTTTGAGTTCGTTATAATCAGGGCTGTACTCTGAAAAGGTGGGTAGAAATGGAAAGAGAATTTTTATAGGCTGATGCTGGACCATTTTTAAAGTACACCCTATTGGTTAATTCGTTGATGACACCATAACTATTTAACTTAACCATTAGTGGTTCTAGTTGCCCCTAATATGGTCTACAAAAAGAGGTAGCTATGCTGTATTGTTGTATTTGCATTAAATCACTTAAATCACATTCCTTGGTCCCTTAAACTGTGCTCAATAATCAGTATTATAACAATAACTTACCATATATTTGGAAGCGAGTTCGAAGAATCCGTACAACACGATGGCGTAGTGAGCTACCAGATACAGGTTGCACCAAGCTGGTAGGTTCACGTCGTATTTGTCTCTGTTTTCAATCTGCAAGCAACAGTAAACCACAACTTATTATGTGTAGAGTATAAAATTGAATGAAATAAGTGGAAATTAAGAAGGCGTGTAGCGAATAACCTTAAAAGCTCAACATTATACATAATATAGACATGGTTTACTGGATTTCTTGTGTCTGTCTGTGTCTGTGATTTTTGAAATTTTAATATACAACACACGCCTTTTATTCCCGACGGGGTAGGCAGAGGTGCACATTATGCCACTGTACAATGTAACACCCACATTTCACTATTCATGTTATGAGTCCCATGTAATAGAGGGTGAGCCTATTGCCATATACCGGGCACAGTACCAGAATCGGTGCTACTACTGAGATTTAAAAAAAAACAGTAATACTTTGCCCCAACCGGGAATCGAACCCGCGACCCCTTGCCCGGTAGTCGCACTTGCGACCACTCGGCCAACGAAGCAGATTCTGGACATTTAACCACTAACTATTTATGGTGGCAGTCTTTCTATAAATTTTAATGTCAATATCAAATAAATAAAATGCAATCAAAACATGTTTTTAATTTATGTAACTCCTTAATGTATAGTTCCCTATAAAACATTAATTTAATTCTATTCTATTAATACCTAAGATCAAATGGTCCATTCAACTTGAAATTGGGAGTTCCCGAAATAATTTGCGGTTAAAGGCAAGGCTGAAGCTTCTATATTTGACCTTGAACTAGTTATGGCTTCATTTCCACAACTACCCTCGCTTGCGGCGATATCGTGCAGAATGTTTGGACTTGAATTCCGGGACGGTACATACATACAGACAAATAGTTTAATATAAATGCTCTCTATGACATTATAGGCTCAATGTATAAAGTGAGTAATTGTTTATTAGGTATTATGGAAATAAAGATTTTCGATTTTCATAAGCGTTTGCATTTGGTAATGAGCACCTAGGTTCAGCTAGCTTCACTGACGGACTGACTGACAGACTATTATTTATTTTACATTTGTTTATGTTTAAAAAGTATCAAATTATGGTTTAATTGAAATAAATGCTTTAAGTTTGAATTTGACGTAAGTATAGGGAACTGAGTATCTGCCACTACCGGACACCAGGCACAAACTTACATTTGTGAATAAACTTGTAGGCGTTATTAAAGAGGTAAGAAGAAAAACTTAGCTAGCTTTAAAGAATATAAACTTTATAAACAAAAAAGTATAATTTTTATTTAGGCAATTTCTCAGTTAACGCCTACACAGCCAGACAAATGAACGTGATACTGATATTTTAACTTTATTTACAAAACAAAGAAAATTTTGAAAGGAGATCGGGTTTGTTTTAAGTTTCTACCTTTTACGTAATTTGGTTAAAAGTTAGCTTATTGAATTCATTTAAAAGTTATATTACAAGACATTGGAAACTGTGTTTTTATAATAACTATCGTGAGACATACTAAATTAACTAAAATCGCGGGTTACTCACGTGAATATATTGAGAAAATCTCTATTAGTTTCGAACCACAGAGGGGTTCTTCCTCATAAGCAGCGTGCGCGGTCACGGCGACGTCGCGCAGCTCACAGTGAGCTCCGCGACGTCGAAAAAACCCCTCTGTGGTTCGAAACTAGTAGAGCTTTTCTCAGTATATTCACGTGAGTAACCCGCGATTTTAGATAACATTGGAAACTGTTTCAAAAATATCCCTAACTGTTTAACTTGAAGTCGAAAGCCTTGCTTCATATGTTGATGAAGGGTAAATAGTTTATGGAATGAATACTTTGGATACGTTTTGGTTAAATCAGAATAATTTAATCATTTTCGTAATGTTGCCTGAATTTGCTGGACTGCCTCGTTGCCCGAGTGCTCGCAAGTGCGGCTGCCGGGCAAGGGATCTCGGATTCGATTTCGGGCTGAGCAAAGTAGTACGAGATTTAAAAAAAAATCTTAGTAGTAGCACGGAGTCTGAAAATTGTGCTTGGTAAATGGCAATAGGCTTACCGTCTATTACATAGGGCACATAATATAAATAGTGAAAAGTGTGTGTTACATTGTACAGTGGCATTAAGTGCCATTTTATGCACCTCTGCCTATCGGAGATAAAAACCGTGATGTTATGTTATGTGTGTCTGGATTTTGTCGATGGTACTGGTGTGCTGTACCTGGTATAAATTAAAAACAATTGACTGCCCCCTACAGTATTAGCTGCGTAGGTGCCTATTGCAAAGGTTCATTACATTTTACTACAGATTCACCTAAAACCTTGTGATGTGAGGAAATCGTAAAAATTTAAATGATCCGATTTAAATTTAAATATTAGTGCTTGGATTTGAATTTTAAATCTACTTTAAAGGACTTATCGGAGAGGTTCAATAAAGTTACTTTCGCATTCTCGAGACTTTTGAATGAATTTAAAGGAAAAAAATTACCTTGTTTGACTTTTATGTAACACCTAAAAGACCCTTTTTTCTTTTTGTTGGTTAGTAAGCTCTCAGCTTGTAGTCAAGTAATAGACTCGTGGATTTTCAAGCCAAATAGTTGGTATAAAAAATAGTAGGCGTCATTGGTGAGTCTGATATATTTTCGTAAATCATGTTTACTGGTTTACTGTCCTGGTTTTTACTGTCCCGAATCTCCTATTCCCAATTCCTAAAAGACTGGCAACGTACTTGTATCTCCTCTATAATTGCGGGTGTCAAACACGTTGCCGATTGCATACCATTACAGGTGATCTATCTGCTCGTTTGCCGTTCTAAACAAAAAGTAACACGAGAAAATATTTTCAAACTACTCACATCTAATTTCATGTCCTCATCTCCCAGGCGAGCAGTGCCAGGCTCCCAGCTAGGTCCCCAGACAATGGCCTTTATCTTGTTCTCCCAGGTGTCCATGCGACGGAACTTTTCAACGACATAGTTGTTGTAGAATGTCTGTGAAAAGTATACATACATTATTGTTCACTTGTATAATTTGTTGAATATCAGAGTAAAAAAACCTATGCACAGATTGTGCTATTCAGTCTGGTCTTTGCGTAACGCTTGTCGACTACTACGTCTATAATGTCATTTAGATCCCTTACAAACCTTTTTGCTATAACAAAACCGTATACAACCATAATTGATGAAAGCTTAACTATCATCTCCTAGTATGAGGGTCTAAAGAGGAAAAAAATACCACTTTGTGGAACCCTCCTCCTACAATCCCTTGGAAAGTACCAGTTTTTGCGATACCGTTCCATTTTCGAGGTTAATTGCTACGTTTTGTGTACTCTACGCGATGCGAGCATGTTCAGAATTTAATATGTTCCTTATTATATTTACACCGGTACGTGTTTCGAGTTTAGCGTATAGGATTAAATATTTTATGTTACATAGTCCTCGTAATTATGGCGTGTAAACATTTTCATGTGATGTAATGCTTGAGATTACTATGTATGTTTTTTTTTTAGACAAGAGGGTTATAAATTAATTTCTTTCCTAGTTTTAAAGAAGAGAAATTATGTAAATACATTTTTAAACTCGTAAAATACAGAAAACACAAAAGCACAAAGATAAAAAGAAAAAAAATCATTTGAACAAACCAAATACGAGAACTTCTATCTATACATGCTCTAAGGCTAAACCTAAGCAATCTTTTTACACACTACATATAAACATATTATAGACCTACCTGTAAGTACATGGGGTTGAAAGAAGGTTGGTTGTAGATCAGACCGTAAACGATCTCAATCTTGTCAGTCTCAGGTCTAAAAGTACCGAAGATACGGTCCCAGATGATGAGGACTCCTCCGTAGTTGACGTCCAAACAGTATTTGTTGCTGCCTGAGGAAAGAAATGATAAAAAAGGTTATGATATATATTTTTTTTAATGCAAAAGAAATTGTACAGTATTTTTTATTCGCAAACTAAAAGCCACATCAGTGTCTCTTCTTGGATTTTTGGTCATCTGGTCAAGAGAGGTTTTTGAAGATTTCCACAGAAACAAACAATTCTTCCACAGGTACACCGTACCATGACGTAATCTGATCCGATTTCCAATTAAAAATTCCCAATCAATGTTTCTATTGTTCGTTTAATTCTGACTTCGAGAAGTTTTCATCAATTCTCAACTTCGATATTTAATTGGTTTTGGATGTAAGAGCATTATTGTTATTTTGATGCAAAGATTTAAAAATCGCCATTAATCAACATTTTGGTTTAAGTTGGCAATGGATGCATTCTTTAATCACATTAATAATGAGCTTCTCAGATAATGACTAAATTTTTTTCTTACCATGGTGAACTCTGTGATGGCTAGGAGTGTTGAGGATGTACTCCAGAGGTCCCAAGCTCTTGATAGCTTCGGTGTGGATCCAGAACATGTATAAGTAGCTGAACTGGTGGTGCATCACGAACTGAGCTGGGGGAATTACCAGCGCCAGTGGAAGGTAGAACGCCTGGAAGAAAGAGAATTGTTATTTTTAATCATAGTCAAAATTAAATATAATTGAATGAAATTAAACGTAAAGAATGACCACCAACTAATATAACTATCATCATGTGAAGCATAATATAGGTCAATTAATGCAAATAAAGTGAACTAGCTAACAATCACTATTGCTATAAATATATTTATTTAAAAAACATACCTAGCCTATATTTGATGACTTTGACTACTAATATCGTTTTAAGGTCATTATACGTACGTACGAATCACGAATCTTGCTCATTAATATTGTATTAGCCAGTTAATGGGAACGTTCCATCACCCCTATCTGTTCCTTCTTAGGAAAAGCCTAAATAATTCACAACTTAGAGTACGCGCTTTTTTCTGTTAAAACGTTTCTTGTGTTCTTTTGAAGTAGGTCTTGTGTCAGCTTAGGGATCATCTAAATTTATTTTATTTATTTATTTATACTTTATTGGACACACAGAAAAAAAAATTTTAAACATTGCAATAGTAATTCGAGTACAATGGGCGGTCTTATCACACGCGGCGATTTCTTCCAGACAACCTTTGGATGGATAAATTTAAGGTAAGAATATACTACACCCAATTAAATGCAAATGGCTACATTCAGAGATTCAATGCAAACTAGTAAAACGGTAAAGATTCGTATAAGAAATAAAGGTTAAAACATACAAAAACGTCACCCAAAAAGATTTCACTAGTCACTAGTGTCTATACAAAAGGGTCCACAAAGCCTTTATCGCCACAAACTGTTAATACGATATCATAATAATATTCGACGTCACGGACCACGACCAAAACTTTCAATACCTCAGACTTTCCTTATGTATTATTTATAACAAAATGATGGAACACCATAAGAAAATATGAAAACAAAAGGATCTCTGTAGGTAACTTTGTGAAACTCATAAATATGAAATGTGTGAATGACGCTTAAGTAACCAACGATTTTTTGTTTGACGACACGATTGTTTTGTCGTAAGAAGTTATAAATCGTAAACCTACCTATATATTAACAAAAATTAATTTCCGTTCGTAAATTTCGCTACAACTTGAGAACGGCTGAACCGATTTACCTAAGTTTGATCTTGAAGTATAGGGAAGTGTTAAAAGAGAGATATTAAACTGTCAAACACCAAGCGGTCACCGGTGACCGCAACCTATTGTTCTATAATTGTGTCTACAAAACCGGTACTCGACGAGTTAAATTAAATTAAATTTTTGGCGGTACAAGGTTTACCGGGTCAGCTAGTTTTGAATAAATTATTAATCTTAACTACTGTATTGGTTTGGTATCTCTACGTATTAAAAATCTGTCTACCATCCACCTAAAGTTGGTTGAGTTCAACCATATCGTATGTATGCTGGCCAGATGTCACAAATGTAGCTTTTTTGTTCTTTTGTCCAATAACTGTACCTGTCACAAATTGAATGACCTTGTATGACTCTAATTTCTCTATTAGGTGATAAGACGAGAGTTTCACACAAGTTCCATATGGTAAGCAGAAAAAGGATAGTCCCCATTGAGTCGAAATATCTTTTTACTTCTTCCTTCTGTGGTAATGTGATACTTACAAATCCACACCATCCTTGCAGCATCGACTGTCGTATACCGACGCCCATGTTGAAGTCTTCAGACGTATGATGGACTTGATGCTGCGCCCATAGTATGTGGACCTCTGTTGAAGAAAGACATCAGTTATTATCTTAGTTACATTTTCTATCTGGTTATTATCGAGTCTAAAGAGTTCAAAATAACTACCCAACAGCCACCAACCCTAGTACAATTTTGGTAGCAAGAATTTTGTTTTCTGTATAAAGAATTTTGACGATACAAATTCAATATATACGAGTTATATATAAGTTTTACTCACCATGACAAGCTCTATGCATCCAGTAGTAACAGAAGTCGACTCCCAATGCCGCAGCATACCACGTCACAGCACTGTCCCAAGGCAGCTCCACAAGTCTAAAGTTCGCATAGATCCACGTGTACAAAAATGACTCGGCACCACGCCAGACCAACCTGGAAGGTAAAATAATTATGAAATAAATAAATACTACTAATATTATAAATAAGAAAGTTTGTGAGGATGCGTGACGAATGTAGATATGTTTGTTACTCTTGCATGAAAACCTGCTGAATGCTAATATTTGGCCCAGAGATAGATCATAGTCTAGAATAACAGATTGGGTAATTTTTATCCTAAGGACACGAACAAAGCCACTGGCAGAAGCGAGTAAATTATAATACAGCATTGATTACTAAAAATGGCAATGTCGTACAGACTTCCCCGGGGAAATTAGGGCTTCTATCGTTTAACTTTGATGAAAGTTATATTTTTTTGTAATTCACAATAATGCTTTGTTCCTTTTGTTGTTGGTCGTATTTAACACGTGACTGTAGTTTAATTATTATTTTGAATTTATATTAACCAATAAGGTCATATCACAAGGGACTAAAAACATAAGTGGCGACCTCTAACCATCCCGTTACCTACAAAAACGTGTTGTCATAACACATTTAAAGATAACAATAAATAAACAAATGGATTGAGGCTTCCGGGGTCACTAACTTATTATGGTAATAAAGATAAATTCGAAACAAACAATCCTTTGGCAGACTTCCAGTGAGAATCGCTCAGTTGCGGTTTTCTTAATCCGATTCTAAGAATCCCGGATAAATTGGAGAGCTTAAATAGTGTTAGTGGTGCCAGGAATTTGTTCTACACGAAAATGGTTTTAAAATAGTACGACTAATGTAAGATGTCCTGGTTGTATAAACTGAATTAGGTAAGTTACTAGAAACAACCGCATTGTAAAATTTTTCGTATTATATTTAAGAAAAAAAGAAAACTACTAGCATTTTTTTAAACACTAAACGACACCTAATGAATCTAGAGGCTGATTGTAATATGTATAAACCCGTACTATGTTGTTTATAAAAAATGTTGAGTGCAAAATGCGTATTGTAGATACTACTTTCTGCATTAACAAAAAAATTGTATAATTGTAACAATAAAATTATCTAAACACATAATTATATTATGAAGTACATACCTTCCACACTCCTGGAGGATTCCATGGGATATGCTAGTGATACCATCGTTGAGCCTAATGCCTGGTTTGCCCTCTAGCCTGAGGACTATGTGTTCCAAGATCATGAACAGGAAGAAGTAAGGCCATGACTGGAAAAGAAAATGTGAATGATTAGTTTAATCGGATTTTATTTGCTGTGAAGGTGATTTACAGTTAAGAGGTACCTGATAAGCATGATTATGAGGTATAAAAAGGATAAAGAGATCACTCGATTCCAGATTTAATTTCTAACAAATTTGATAGTTGACTGCACGGACTGCACGGTTGGCGAGGTGGCTGGGCAACTGGCTGCCGCGCAACGTGTCGCAGGTTCGATTCCCGCACGGAACAATTCTTTGTGCGATCAACAGATTGTTGTTCCGGGTCTGGGTGTCATGTGTATGAGATATTGCATGTTTGTAAACGCACCAACGACACAGGAGAAAATCCTAGTGTGGGGAAAGGTTTTTTTTTAAGAAGTCTGATTTAATATAGTAGATCTCTTTTTCATCTCTCTTTTATTGCAAAGTGAGTATTATTATAGTAGTACAGTATTGTTTGTACTTCTGTCTACTTTTATAAAAAAAAAGAATTTACTAAATCAACAATAATCATGGTGTTTAGTATTAGCCAAACAAAATCGTATTATCGAGTCGATATGTAAATATTCATCTACCTGACTACGACCAAAAGCTTTTCACACGTTTGCATTTGTCACAAAATTGTGAATTCTTTCTTACCGACACTAAAAGATCTATGTACAGTCTGCATAGTTACTTGGTGTTCATGTCTGTCATTTCGCTTTTGGCAGAGCGGTCATCGTCGCGTTTAGGTGGCCTTATTTGTGTTATTTGGTATGCAGGTACAAAAATATACATTAATTTGGTAAAGACACTGTAACAATTGTTTGGCTTCTGAGCCGATGGTTCCAAAAACTTATACTATAATATGAAGCTGAATATCACGCTACCATCAATAGGAGTCGTGCAGATTAGATAAAACCGCGTGGAAATAGCCAGTATCCATATAATTTAACTTCTACTTATATATTTGTATATTATTTTAACTTTCACATTTAATGGTGGGTAGACGACATAAACAGAATATAAACTTCAATACGAACAATGTAATTTAGTGTAAATAATTATAGTTACTGTCTCTGTACTAAACGAATCTTTATTTTTGTACCTGTATACCTACTTAACGGGTTACCGGGGCTTCGGCTCGAAGTGCAGTCTTGTAGGAACGGGGCAGTTTTTAGTCAGTAAGAGTCTGACACTCCCGCCTCACCCAGGCGGGAGACATTCGATAATTTTTTAAAATATCTATTAACTACGATCTATGGCCACCGTAAGGACGGGCCTGCGGACGGCGAGCACGGGCGACTCGACACGAGCACGGTACGGCGCGTCGCGTTCCACATGCGCTTCAAAGAGCCATCAGACCCCCGCAGATTGGACCCAATAGGGCTGATGTCGGATACCTACTCTCCGACTCGAATGGCAGGAGTAGGAACGGGGTGGTTTTTAGTCAGTAAAAGTCTCACACTCCCTTCTGTCTAACCCAGGCGGGAGAAGTCATTCGATGATTTTTTCCCCTTAACAAAAACTTATTACCTGTGCAGACTGTACCTAGTATATACGTTCCTTAGGTAGTAACCACACAAAAATCAATAGGTAGGTAATGTAATATCGTTATCCACACCTGTGTGTGTTCATATATCATTTTACATATTTCGTTCTCAAGACGCAGTGAATGTTGATATATCGTGTTCCTTTGGTTTTGTAACTCTTGCATAGAACGTGTTAGGAAATCTTGTGTGTGCTTGTTCATAGTTTTTTTCTTTATTTTTGTATCTGTGACTGTTAATATTAGTTTTTATGTGTGATTGAGTTTCGAAATGCAATTTTGCTGTAGATTGCTGTGTGATTTTGTATATAGGTAACAATTACTTAAGCATATTATGTGAAGTGATTGATGAAATTAGTTAAAGACTATTTTTTTGCAACTACCAGAATTGCATTATTTGGTGCTTTATAGCTTTTGCTAGGCCAATAAGAGACAGGCTAGGCGTTACGATGTCTGTGGTTTTTTTTGATATGCGCATACACAAACAATAATTAAATTATTAAAGAATTTGATACAGGATGTGCTAAATGAACATCAAAATGCTTATGACGAATCAAGAGATTTGTAAATAAGGAAAAAGGATAAGTAATCCTCAATCATTAAAAAGTTCCAAAGCCGATATTGAAATAAATAAAATAAGTAAGTAATGTATGCGTAATTAAGTGTTTAATTAATTCTGTATCTAGACGGATATGAATTCGGCCTCGCCAGTAAAAGCAAGTATAGAGAAATAGTGTCAACATGTCAAGTTCAACATTTATACGAAAATAGAACAAATTTTAATATAAAAATTCTAATAAGTATGAACAAATAACACCTTGAATATTACGACATGGTATTCGGGAGAAAATTTTGCAATTGTAATTAGACTTTAATAGACCATACGTGTTAAGATTTAGAGGTTAGAATTGAATGGCAATAAAGAAGTCAAGGTGATTAAAACCATTAATATTGTATTGATAAGTTGGTCAATGACCTTTTGATCTGATTTTTGATTGTAGTTTTTTTTTATTTATCTCCGTACTCACTCGTTGATTACATGGTTGCCTGTATGGTAACTAAGTCTTTATTGTCTGTATTCAATATCACTGATAACTAAAGCATTTGTAGGATTATTTTTTTTGAAATTGTTGCCCCATAATAGAATATTCTCCTATGTCGTGGGTGCGTTTACAAACATACAATTTCACATATCTACACTACACATGACACCGAGACCCGAAACAACAATTTGTGGATCACACAAAGTGTTGTTCCGTGCGGGAATCCAACCCGCGGCACGCTGCATGGCAGCCGGTTGCCCAGCCGCCACACCGACCGTGCAGTCGATTAGCCAGTAATCGCAATTATACCTATACATTGTGGCGTCTAGCATCATTTCTAGACCTGGGTCATATAACAAAATTGGCTAAACCAACTAAACACCTTTACAGACCAATTTCCTATGATTGGCCCTATAAACATGATGTTATGTCAAAGGATCTCTCAAGGTGTTACAAATTAAATTTAAACTTACTTGTCTAAAAAAGTTAGGTACATCCTCCTTGCGTTCAAACATAGTGTCTTTAGGGGAGTGGATGTAGAACATTCTGCCGATCCCCTTCAAATGGTCGCTGACCATCTCTGAGAACGCATTCTCCTGCGTCGCGTTGGCGAATGTGAAGTCCGCCATTTTTGAATATCTGAAAATAATGAAATGAATATTAATTAACATTATTAATTGTTAATTATTTTCTTATCATCAAATCGCAAAAGGATATAGAGCATACATTTAGTATTATTTTTCTTTATGTTTGTCATTTCCTTTTTTGTATGTAGTATATTATTAATGGTGTACAATAAAGTTATATTCTATTCTATTCTATTTAATACATTTTTATTAGCCTTGTATGTTAAAAGTTGCGGGTATAATGTGTTTTATACCGGGAGCCGGTGTTTCAACTGATAAAAGGTTAGTATAAAAAATCAATTCGTGTTTTGGAAAATTCATAAATCTTCAGTTGTATCTGTGTTAAATATAAGTGTTTTCATTCTACATCATAAAGATTATGAATTCTCCAAAACACGAAATGCCTTTTTGGCCGTAATTCAACTATTCTTTTTTTTTACATTATGTTCTTTATGTAACCGATACGAACATTAGGTACATGTATGTTAGTATAAAAATACGATAAAATTTTAATCATCAAATACTCAAAAAACAATACGGCTTATCATAAAACAATACTTAGTTATTTTTGAATTCTTATTTTACGAAACATCACGTAACGAACACGTGTGTTCTTATTTTAATATAACCTATAATTGTAAACATATAAATAGGCCTTAAACAAAGGTTATTGTTATGCAATAAAAAATGTTTATATTTATATACTAGCGACCCGCCCCGGCTTCGCACGGGTGCAATATGCATGTATTATACATACAAACCTTCCTTAAGAATCACTCTATCTATTAAAAAAACCGCATCAAAATCCGTTGCGTAGTTTTAAAGATCTAAGCATACATACGGACATACAGCGAAAGCGACTTTGTTTTATACTATGTATTGATGATTAATGCTCTAACCTTCTCCGTGTGAGAAGAGGCTTTGCTCAGCAGTGGGCATTTATAGGCTGTTGATGATGATGAAGGTGTAGTTTTGAAACCGTGGCATTTTCACATCGGGGGCATGTCACAGAAGTCATAAAGATTCAATATAAGAGAAAATTTCGGGTCAATAGTTAAAAATATGGCAATAATAAACCGTTTAAGTTCAACAGTATTTGAGAATAAGCAGAATTAGGAATAATATCAATTACGTGTTTGAGTTTGTGTGTGTTAAGCCGCGTTATAAAACTAGTTACAAGACGGCGGCGTGTAGTTCGCACTTACGGATTTCCATAATTTACAGAAAAATGAAAAATATTTACCTACAATTTTTTTTATTGATTCAGACTCAGAATCGATAGCCGACTTACCTCCTAAAAAATGACGCGGCTTTAAAACAACACCTTGTATAATGTAAGGAATTCAGTGTTTTTATGTATAATAGTAGAATTCCATTGCGATAATCGGTTTAGTGAACTTTTATATCAAAGTTTGACCTAATGTGATTAGTTGTACAATGTACATACATTTAAATTATACGATATTTTCGGTAGATGTTGATATGTAAAATGTACAATATAAAACTACGTCTGCCTTGTTGGCCAACTGGTCTCGGGTTCGATTCCCGGGTCGGGCAACGTATTACTGGGTTTTTAAAAATCTCAGTAGTAGCACGGAGTCTGGAAATGTGCCCGGTATATGGCAATAGGCTCACCCCCTATTAGGTACACGGGACTCATAAGATAAATTGTGGAAAGTGGGTGTTACGTTGTACACTGGCATTAAGTGTCGTTTGTGTACCTCTGCCTACCCTTTCGGGGATAAAAAGGCGTGATATTATGTTATATAAAATTATCTATGTGATTAACTTTTCAACTTCATCGCTATCGGCTTAATATATAATTCTTTTGAGTCTTGTTTATTGTGTTTTTAACTAGAAAATTGAATGTTTGAATCAATCCTCTTAACAGTCATATAATGTACCTTCATAATAAAATATTAAGATAAAGGTCTTTCGTCATCAAACTGTTGAAACAGCTGTTTTGAAACTTCCCTAATTGTCCTGATAAAATTGATAATAATCTACGATACTATGGTTCTTTTAGTCATTAAAAATGTCAATTTCATTTAAATGACCGACCAAGATCATCATTACATCATTAAGTAGAAAGGATGGTGGTAGATACCCATCTGACCATTATTTTAAGAATATTTTTAGTTTTGTACATTTTTTTATTACATAACATAACATCACAACTTTTATCCCCGAAGGGGTAGGCAGAGGTGCACATTATACCACTGTACAATGTAACACCCACTTTTCACTATTTATGTTATGAGTCCCATATAATAGGGGGTGAGCCTATTGCCATATTCCGGGCGCAATTCCAGATTCCGTGCTATTATTGAGATTTTTGTATTATAATTTAAATTACAGTTTAGTCTTAGTAAAATAATAAAACCATTATTACATTTCAGGCTCCAATTTTCGCTGAATAACATGTGCTGTTACATATGTGTTAAAATAATGTTTAGTAATATCATAATTTTGTACTGATTTTATTATCTTTGAATAAGTGTGTTTGACCTCATTCGCAATTGTCATTCAGATACTCTGATTGTAATTTTATATTTGTTGAGTACAGAAACAGTGCTGACTCTTGGTTCTAATGAGAAAATTTATACATCAAAAATCTTATTAATTACTAACTCCGGGAAATTCTGGGAAGCTTATACCATCTTATATATATCTTATTTTTTCTGTCATAAGAACCTTCTTCTGACAATAACAAACACAACAAAAAATTCAGCCAAATCGGTTTAGCTGTTCTCAAGTTATGGCGTGACAACGGAAAATGGGTTTCATTATATATGTATAGATATAATCTTTATACTTTCATAATGTCGCGGAGATCCTAACGGGTAACCTCTCGGGTAAATCTGCACGTCGAGCCGGAGCCCCGGCTCGACGTGCAGGAGAAGGAACGGGGTGGTTTTTAGTCAGTAAGAGTCTGACACTCCCCCCCGCCTCACCCAGACGGGAGCAGTCATTCGATGATGATCCCCCCTTAAAAAAATACTTTCATAATATGTAGTAGATTTGAAAATGGATTTCTCCAGTTTATATAAAGAATTTGTACCTATTCAATAACCGATCTAGTGCCTAATAATATATATTAATTTTGAGTTTCTAAATAGTAACTACTAGTTTCGACTTTCGAGCCACAGAGGGGCTCTTCCTCATGAGCGTGCGCAGTCGCGGTGATGTCTCGCAGCCTACTAATTTAGTTTGAAGTAACTTCCTCACTTCAAGACACAAACAAGTAACCAAGGAGATAACAATAACTACCATTCCTATTTACTTCCTCTATCGGAACTTTGACATTATGATTATGTAGTAGCAATAACATTGTACCTTGTGTACTATCAGTTATATACATAGCTGTATATATACGGATATAGAGCTAAGAATATCTTCATTGTCAATGATACTTCCCCGTGTGTTATATAAAATGTATTTACGTAAGATAACTTTGTAAGGAATACTTGTTTATATATTGTATGAATGTGTATTATTCGTTTATATTTTTATAATGCTAGCTAGGTAGGTTTCAAACCAGCACCCTCTTGCATGAGAAGCGAGTGTCTTAGATCTCCGAGCTACCACGACATTACAGTATATAGAAATATTTCTTGTAATAGCACAAAATACTACAACATTTTAAGTGCATGGGTCATATAGATTTATTGCTAACGTACGCCATAAATGGAGTTAAGTAAGTAAATCACAGATAGACACATAGATCTACCTTATTTGTATTGTTTTAAGTACCTAATTACAATGAGTCTTAGAGGTATATTACACGTGTCTTCTTCACATATAATTTCATTGATCTTATGCCAAGTCATGTACAGAGCGTTATATTTAGAATATAAGTCTATTGGGGTGCTTTTCCATTAGAGATGTGCTAGGCTTTTTTTTTAAGGGGGGAAAATCATCGAATGACTGCTCCCGCCTGGGTGAGGCGGGAGGGAGTGTCAGACTCTTACTGACTAAAAACCACCCCGTTCCTTCTCCTGCACGTCGAGTCGGAGCCCCGGTTACCCGTTAGGTTCTCCGCGACAGAGATGTGCTAGGCTACGTTTCTGCCATGCTACGAAACTGTGGATGCGTTTGGCATCTACCAATTATATTCATTGATACACGTAGCTTAGTACTGGTGGAAACGGATTCGTCTAAGTTTTTTTTTACATGGAAGGCTGCGTGCTATTTGATGTATACTATGTATACTATGCGTGCCGCCCTCGCCGTTTCCCTACTGTCCGTTCATCGCATAGTTTGAGTTGCGCCACTTCCTTGCGCAGCTACTTTGCAGCAGCGCATCTTCATAGCACATGCTATTTACATCTTACTTACGCTACATAGCTTAGTATCAGTAGAAATGGTCACATAACTATGTAACCGTTTGCTGCTGAGAAACTTCACAGCTTAGCTAATTTACATCCTCATAGCATAGCTGCTTAGCACATCTCTGGTGGAAAAGCATCCTTATATTATTATTGTATTCCTTCATAAACGTTTTTCTCCATTAAAATATCGATTCCAACAGTTTCAACTCAAAAATACGCGGAATTCTCAATAATAATTATTCTCAGATTTGTAAACATTGACAACATACAATAAAGTGTTAATAAATAAATAAACCCAGACACCTTAAGAACACAATAACAAAACAAGAGATATACATTATCATATTTATCAGGTGTTTCTTCAGGACATTACAATGACATAAAATCATCTAGATAAGTTATCTTGTCGGATCTAGGGAAAGTAGATCTTTCACAAATAATCTTTACAAATAGGTACTTTGTTTAACAATACTTAGTTTATCTCGAATCTTGTAAAATGTATGAGAAAAACATAACATAACATCACGGCCTTTATCCCCGAAGGGTTAGGCCGAAGTGCACATTACGGCACTTATGCCGGAATACTGAAACATTACTCAATTTTAAGTCGTGCTCAAATATCGTGCCATCTCTGTCATTTTACAAAGAATTTGTAGAGATAGAACTATACTTAAGCACGACT